CATTTTCTTCTGAACTTTCACCCACATCTATGGCAGGCAGCCCCAGAGGTGGTGAGGTAAGAGGTTAATTATCAGTGGGCGTGGGATTGTGTTTTAGGGATAAAAATATTTGAGTATCTCAAACTCACATGAAAAAAATAATAATTATCACAATATTCATCTGGCTGCACAATAAAACAAATATTTTGCATTCGCAAGTCATAATTTGCACATTATAAGTCTTTCCAGGAATGATTTCACATATGCATGGTTTTTCTACACAAATGAATTGCAAAATATAAATTATATCATTGCTCTATTTTTCCTAAAGGACTTTCACAAAAGCATACAGTTGATTCTTCACGTTATTGATTTGATAGGCAGATTTGATTATTCTTGACTTTGCTTAAAATGTTCTCTCTTGGAATCTCTAGGTCCTCCTATGCAACTTAGTGGCTAACTTCTACAGGACATTGACTTTAAAGTCACACTGGAGGAACTCAGGCACGATATTCTCTCTAGAAATCTCCTAGGTCTTCCAGAGTGAGTCTATGGTCAATGTCTGGTGGACATTGATCATACAGTCATGCTGGAGGACTTTGAGATTTCTAGAGAAGTGTTCTCTCAGGTTTAAAAAAGCAGTTTTAATTTGCTTTTTCGCCCTTTTCTTTTGCAAGTCCTGTGCCTTTACCCCCAGTGAATCTGGAGACTCACTGTATTTCTTCTAATGTTAGTGTCCATGTGTGTTCATTTCTAGATGATCAAAGTAGAATGGGAGTGCAGCAGAGAAACAGTGTCAATCTTGACACATTAGGATCAGCCTGAGAGCTATGTGTAGCTGAGAGACAGAGAGAGAGGTTGGTCTGTAATCATCACCATAGGCTGTCACTCGCAGACAAGTATGATTGCCTTCCAAGTGTAGAGATCTATTCTGGAACTGCATGTTCTTTTGGAGTAAGAAAGGTGGTCTCTGTCAAGGTTGGCTTGACGCGCCTTCTTCTTGACATGTTTTTCTCTTTCGCCCTCCGTTTGTGCCTCTTCGAATTCCCCAGCACTGTTGGTAACAGCTGACCTCCAGTTAGAAGGCTTGAGGAACAGGGTTTCCCAGATGTTTGTTAGTGTCTGCGTTGAGACAGTTTTTAAGGGTAGCATTAAGACCATCTTTAAACATCTTTTCCTATCCACCAGCATTCTGTTTTCCATTCTTGAGTAGGGAGTATTGTAACTGCTTTGGGAGATAGTGATCGGCCATCTGGACAGTCCAGTGGCCAGTCCAGTGAAGTTCATGGTGGAGGATCATCACTTTAATGCTGGTGGTGTTTGCTTCTTCTAGAAAGCTGAAATTTGTCCTGTCTGCCTGTCTTCCCAAGATATTTGCAGGATTTTTTGGAGGCAATGTTGATGGAATCATTTCAGAAGTTGAGAGCGATGTTTGTAGACAGTCCACGTTTCGCAAGCGTATAACAGAGTTGGGATGACAATAGGTTTATAAACAAGCATCTTGGTATCCCTATGAATGTCCCAATCCTCAAACACTCTGCTTCATTTGAAAAAATGTTGCACTCGCAGAGTTCAGATGGTGTATTTCGGTGTCAGTGTTGAATTTTGTGGAGAGGTGGCTGTCAAGGTAGCAGAAATGGTCAACATTTTCCAATGTTACACCACTAAGCTGACTTTCTGGCATGGCAGAGGGATTGGTTGGTGCCTGCTGGAAGAGCACATTGGTTTTCTTGATATTCAGTGGGAGTTTTTTGTTTGCTTCTACAAAGGTATTTAGAGTGGCTTATAAGTTTTCCTCTGAATGAGCACAAACTACAGTATCATCAGCATATTGGAGTTCTAGAACGGAAATTGTTGTGACCTTGGTTTTAGCTTTCAATCTGTTGAGGTTAAATAATCTGCCATCTGTCTGGTAGGTGCTTTCCACACCAGTGGCAAGCTTCCCGTCAACAAGATGCAGAATCATAGCTATGAAGATGGAAAATAAATTTGGAGTGATAACAAATCCCCGTTTGACACCTGATTCTACCTTAAATGGGTCATGGAGAATATAACATAGCTTTCTGCACATGTTCCTGCATCTGTAACTCACAATGAATTTATTTGTATTCATCCAGAAGAGGTTGGTTTTTCTTTTTGCAGGTGCAGAACAACCAAGGTAAAATATTGCAGTCTCTTGACGGCAGTCAGAGTGTAGCATTTAGAAAGCTCATCAGTACTGCTTATATAACCTCTAACTTTATTATGTTTCTGCCATTCTCTAGAGTCTACAAGAGTTAGAGTCAATGTTCCACTTAGTTCACTTACTGCTCACTACTTCTACTGTTATGTTACTAAATTTGAAAATCAGACATCAGATTATTTGGACAGATGTCACTTGCTGACAGTACAAACCTATATCCATTTATATAGATGCAAAATACTGTATCCAATGGAACCTGTTTAGAAGTGAGTGTGTTTAGCACTGCAACCTACTTTTACAGAGAAATCCTTCCATCCCAAAATCTTATTCACTATTTTGTGATGTTAGAAGCACTTGAAGATAAATGTTTGAGGTGTGAAGTCTTTTCTTCAGTCAGAGTATATATGTTTTTTGACCTTGGGCAGAATGAACTAAAGGTTACAAAGGAAATGTCAGTTCAGGTCAGTGGACATTAACAACCTCTAAACCAGTGGCTCTCAACCTGTGGGTCCCCAGGTGTTTTGGCCTACAACTCCCAGAAATCCCAACCAGTTTACCAGCTTTTAGGATTTCTGGGAGTTGAAGACCAAAATATCTGGGGACCCACAGGTTGAGAACCACTGCTCTAAACAATGAGAAGATATTCATTTATCTTGGATTTCCTTCCTTGAAAACTTAGCGCTAGGCAACTGATGCTTCCAGGTGCAGTGCTCCTGCTTCAAACATTTCAAAAGTCTTTTTTTCTTTAATAGACTTTACTATAATCTTAAGATTTTCCATACAATTCCATGAATGAGTCCGAGCTGTTTCACAATTAAAACATCATCTAGAAGCATCTTGCAGCTACTGTCAACTTGGCAGCATGCATTACAATTTATTTTCCTAATAATATTGTGCTTCATAGTTCTCCCACTTCTGTTACATGGTCCAGAGATAGAGAAACATAAATCATAGTGGAACATTATGATCTGGATTCATTGTTAGTCTCAACATACATTGAATTAAACAAATTATGGAAGCCCACCAACGAATAAGTACATTTCAGAAAAAGGAATTAGCAAAGGTTTCTGGGTATTCTTTGCCTAAGAAAACTCTGTGAAATTCATGGAGTTGGTATAAGGTAACATCTCACATGAAATCACATACATACACCTCTATGTTGCTCATCATTTAATACAGGCAGTTCCTGAGTTACAAACAGCTGACTTGCAAATGACTCATAGTTAAGAACAAGTGTGAAACAACAGAAAGTGAGAGAAATCTACTCCTGGAAAGGGAAGTTAACTCCTGAAGAATTATCTTAGGGAAAGGGTATCTCAGTTGAAGCCTGATCACCATTCCTTGTTTCTACAACAAGCCAATTTTTCAAAATCCAATTATCACAAGGATGGAAAGTGAGGTGAAATCTTCTGAACAGAGACACAAACAGTAAAACAAAAACCACAGGAATAGTAAACCTTCCCAGTGATATCCAAAGCATGCATGCATATACATATGTGTGCGTGTGTGTGCGCGTGCATGTGTAATATAGATGGAGTTACATTTTAAAAATGTCCCTGTTCCAACTTACATACAAATTCAGCTTAAGAACAAACCTACAGAACCTATCTTGTTCAAATCTGCCCCAAAAAAAAAAAAAAAAAAAAAAGAACCCCCCCCCCCCCCCCCCCCCCGACACACACGAACACACCCACCCAACACTACTACAATTCAGCTTAGACCCTACAGAACCTATCGTGTTTCATACTTGGGCTGTCTGTAGTTCTTGGTGTCTCCCTATTCGAATTCGGACTTGTGGGGCAGATGAACCCTGGCTCCTTTCAACACTATTGATGTGCTATGAAACATTCCAATATATTTCTCCCATTTAATACTTTCAAATGTATCTGACTAGAAATTCTCAGTATTTCCTACATATGGGTACAAGTACTATGTGCATTATTGTGCCAGCAGGCTGTACCGTGGGGTGGGGGGGGGGGGGGGGGGGGGGGGGGGGGGGGCCGGGGCTTCACTTTTTTTTCGAGGGGCGAAACTTTTTTTAGTGAATCATGAAGAGTAGTTCCATAACAAAATAATTTAAATACCCCCCCCCCCCCCCCCGGGCTACAGCTTTGCCTATGTGCATCAGTATTACTATTCATGTATTACTCATATTTCTCATTCTTGCAGTGCTTTCCCTTCACTTCATTTTCAGAACAATATTGGATAAAGGATCAGGGTTAAAGATAGAATTAAGTAAAACAAGGTTTATCAGTTCCTATGGAATGGTATGCAAATGTATAGAAATTGGCACAAACAAAAACACCAACTTCCTATAAGTGAGAAATTTAAGTGACCTCTCACCAAAGAAATAACGTCTCCTGTTTGTCTCTTAGAAACATATTTCAATTAATTTAAAAATATTTTCCCAGTTGTACTAGTGGAATGATGATTAGAAATGTTTCTAAGGTTGTTGTTTTGTTTTTTGTTTTTTTGAAGTATTTTCTGTTTCAGGGCACATAGATGAATGCCTGGCGCTGATTAATATCTGATACGTAGTAGAAACATTGCTCTTATGTTGTTTGATTTGACCCACTTCTGACCATCATAGATTTAACTGCACTGGTCATGTTTTCAGTAGGAAAATATGTCTTTTCTTGAAAACTGGCATGTGTTGAGAATTTTATTGACTGATTTGCTGCCTTGAAGAAACTAGAGAGGTTTGTAGATAGAAAATGTTAGGTAATTAGTCAAAGTAACACTTCTGAGTTGCTAATAAAAACAAACATAAATTCTAGTTGCAGTATCACAGAGGTTTCAATGAAGTCTTAATTGCTTCTGTTTATAATTTCCCCGACAGGTATATTTACATCCCAATGGGAGGATCTCGCTGCAATATGTTTAAGATGCTGTTTTCTATGGCAGTCACATTTGCTTTTGTCAGTTATTGGCACGGCGGTGATAGCTACCTCTGGTCCTGGGCTCTGCTTAACTGGCTTGGAGTGGCTGCTGAAAATGGAGTGAAGAGGCTGGTTTCTCTTCCAGTTGTCCATAACATGCTTGTAAGTTAATTCCTTTCTTCATGCCTGCAAATAAAGTTGGATTTAAGTTTAGAGTTTAATTATTCTTTCTAAAATAAACCTGATTTTAGTGCAATGTAAGACATAACCCGTGACTGCCTCAATGTGGCAGGAACAACTCCATTTAATCTTCTGCCACTCCACTTTTTCAGGTGCTTCAAAAAGGGTCCCATTTCCCTCTCCTTCCATTTCTTCCCTTTGTCTTCTGATTACTTCAGTTGCTGCAAATTCAGTTTAAATTGCAAAAGTATTCCATTAACTCAACAGGAAAGGGGAAGTAGGCAAGAGGAATTTTCAAATGTCAGACTTGTATACGCTAGGTTTGTGCATTTCAGGTAAATCCCAATCAATTTCTTCTTGCTTTATACCGGAAACCCCCCATATCTGTTTTCAGGTGGCTGCCGAAAACAGTTGCATTTCCATAATGGCGTTTTCATTCCTCAGCTGAAAAATCAGCTATTTTCACTTCTTTGGCACCAATGGGAGGGGTAGGAATTCCCCTTCCCTTTCCATCATTTTAGGCAATTGCATCCTTATATCCTTCATTTAGAACTGGATTAAAAGCATCAGATACCACTCTTCCTGCGATACTTTCCCCTCGGTCTGCAGAGGAGACTGGGTTTCAAGAAAGGGCTTCCGATACCACTCTTCCTACGATGCTTTCCCCTTGGTCTGCAGGGGAGACCTGGGTTTCAAGAAAGAGGTTAATATACTACTCTCCTGCTGTGCTTTCCCCTCAGTCTGCTGAGGAGACACAGGATACACTGGCAGGGCTCACGAAAGCAGAGGGGCAGCTGGTGATAGGCTCCCACTTGTTTTCATATCAAGTGGGCTTTTGTGCTCGGAGCCCCCTTCCTATTATGAGCTCCCAAAGGTGTCGTAAGCACTGCAAGTACCAAAGGAAATGGTATCCGCACACAACCCTAGTATACACCATATAGTATACACCAGATCGGCCCCCTCCCTCCAGTCCTTTAGAAGGATGGTAAAAACTTGGCTGCTGGACCAAGCTTTTGGGACAGTGTAATAAAGCAGCAGTATCTGATATCTAATTATCAGGCCAATTAGATTAGATGCAGATGATCAAAATGATTTTAAACAGTGTATTTTAATATTGAGACAAATGTTTTTAATGTTTATGTATGCATATAATGAATTCATGTCCCGGCATTGAATGTTTGCCTTATATATGCTGTGCTCCACCCTGAGTCCCCTTTGGGTTGAGAAGGGCGGACTATAAATGTGTAAATAAATAAATAAATATTTAATTATATTTAATTACATTCATAATTGTACCTTTCTAGTGCATTCTCAGAATTATGCAGTTATTACCATCTTGCCTGCACATTGCAAATTTGGTGGTCAGCCACCACATTAATGATACGATGCTTTCTCCTCCTCATTCCCTTCCTTCTTCATAAACCCAGCACTTAGTTTAAACAGGGCCTAAGGGTTCACCTTTCTACTAAAACAACTCTGTGCATAAATGAAAATGGAAAGGACTGCAAGCTGCTATTTCATGCTTATTCCCACCCATTCAGCATTCTCTTGCTCCTTAGGAAATCTGCTCTATTGAAATGAAAAGTAATTTTCTCAGCATGGATGACAGAGTCTATATGTGCACATCATTTCATCAGATGAAATATCCAATGTTATAATGAATAAAAGAAAAGGGAAATGCTTTGTTTATCTCTTACTAACTTTCAATCATAATCAACAATGAATCAAATCAAATATGCATTCTTTCCGACTCATACATTCTCAAAGTCTTAAACCGGGACTAAAGGTATATTTTTGTCTAGCATAATAATAATAATAATAATAATAATAATAATAATAATAATAATAATAACTTTACCCTTTTATCCTGCCTCCATCTTCCCAAAGGGACTTGGTGTGACTTACATGGGGACCAAGCCCAATATAAACAAAGGTTACAAGTAACACAATTAAAAACATATAGCAGTAAAATGTATACAAACAGTAAAACCAATAAAATGTAAGACACTGTAATTTACTGTTGTTTTTGTTGACAAAACCATTGAAAAATGGTCCCAGTAACCTGATATATATTTCTGTTTTACTCAGTCTGGAAGCTTGTTCCAACTTGACTATCAAGCCAAATAATGTCGGGCATTCTTGGTCCTTAGACTCCTGGTTGTTCCTGAAGAAAGAACTGTACAAATTATACACACTTAGACAACTCACCAGGGTGACCTAGGCTGAGACTAGACCTCGGAAATTGTATTTTTGGGTGCTATGCTAGATGGGGGATTCTGGGAGTTGTAATTCTAAAAGTAACTTTCCCAAATGATGGATGAAAACTGGAGAGATTTGCTTTGACCTCCTTAATATCTCCACAAGAAACAGAAAGAGGGAGGACCCCAAACTCCTATCTCACTAGTCATAAATACAGGCAATAAGTACTTCTGATAACTGGACCACTGCTTCCTCAGATTGTAATTGAGCCCCATGTTCTGGATATAGTCTTTTAATACAAGATTTGACCAGCTAATTTGTAAATATACTTGCAGAATGTGAGCAAATCAATGGTCAGGCTGGTTGAGGGATACAAAGAGTTGTAGTAAATATAAAACAACTTTCCAAGGAAACCCCATTTAGAGGAGGTTGCCAATATTATTTTCTGGCAATATTTTTATACACAGTTGTATAAAAAGGAGGAAGTGAGGGATGGAAAAAATGGAATATGGCAACATATGCAGGATTCACTGGTTTTTAAGATTAACATGAGCTTTTGTAGATGTACTACATCTGTACTTCATCAAGTGCAGTACAGAGTGATATTAAAGTGTAAGTTATAAAACATGTTTTTATTGGGTTGCTGTGAATTTGTTGTATGGCTGTGCTCCACAAGCATTCTCTCCTGACGTTTTGCCCACATCTATGGCAGATGGAAACTAGGCAAGTGAGATTTATATATCTGTGAAATGTCCAAGCTGGGTGAAAGAACTCTTGTCTGCTTGAGGCAAGTGTGAATGTTGCAATTGGCCACCTTGATTAGCACTTAATGGCCTTGTAGCTTCAAAGCCTGGCTGGTTGCTGCCTGGGGGATCCTTTGTTGGGAGGTGTTAGCTGGCCCTCATTGATTCTTGTCAATCTCACTTGCCTAGTTTCCAACAGACCCCACACCTCTGAGGATGCCTGCCATCGATGTGGGCAAAAGGTCAGAAGAGAATGCTTGTGGAACATGGCCATACAGCCTGGAAAACTCACAGCAACCCAGTGATTCCGGCCATGAAAACCTTCGACAACACATGTTTTTATAGTTGTGAGAATGCACCTCTATAATGCATCTACCCAGATGGTTTTTTTTATCCATGAAAGCTCATGCTGAAATTTAAAAAGTAGTTTGTATTAAACGTGCTGGCACATTCTCCTTTTTCCTTCCTTCTTTTTTTACTACAAGAAACTAACATGACTATTCTACCTCTTTGAAAGGTTCAGCCAGTATAGCTAGTGACGAGGAATATTGGAAACTGCAATTCAGCAATTGCTGGAAGGCCATATACTTTCCATCTATGATCTAACAGCTTTCTAACAGATGGAAATTAGCTGGGTTGCTTTGTTCCACTGAGCAATAAAATGGTAGGAACATATTGTCTTTTACATTTTTGTTTGATGGACAATATTAATGTCATCACTCGCTATTACCTGGGATCTAAATAGCCATAGTTGATAAGACATGCTGGACCTTGCCCAACCTTGAATATGCTTTAATGGATTTTAGTTGTGAATTTTTACTACTGGGTTGCTCTGAGTTTTTCAGGCTGTATGGCCATGTTCCAGTAGTGTTCTCTCCTGATGTTTCACCTGCATCTGTGGCAAGCATCCTCAGAGTCTCTGTTGCTAGTGATGCAAGGATGATGCATAAATATCTGTGGAATGTCCAGGGTGGGAGAAAATACCCTTGTTTATTTGAAGCATGTCTGAATGTTACAATTAGCAAGTTTGATTAGCACTGAGTAGCCTTACAGCTGCAAAGTCAATCAGTGGGGGTACTTGCATAGGCAGTAGCTCCCAACCTTTGGTCCTCCAAGTGTTTTGGACTTCAGCTCTCAAAATTCTTAACAGCTAGTAAAGTGGCTGGGATTTGAAGTCCAAAACACATGGAAGACCAAAGGTTGAGAACCACTGGGTAGCTTGGCTATTGTGCTTTTTTAAAATACTGTTTATATTTAATTCTGTTTTAATATTTGCATATTATATATTGTATTTTATTTATGTATTGTATTCTAATATTTTATGTTAAGCCTCTTTGAGTCTCCTTCGAGAGAGATAAAGCAGGGTATTAATAATAATAATAATAATAATAATAATAATAATAATAATAATAATAATGGCCACCTGTGCACATCATTGGAAAATACATCACACAGTCCTAGACACTTGGGAAGTGTTCGACTTGTGATTTTGTGATATGAAATCCAGCATATAGATCTCATTTGCTGTGAGATACTGTGCTTTTGTATCAATAATAATAATAATAATAATAATAAATAGGAATAAAAAGGAATGGGATAATTCCTGTTTCCACGGACGTCTGTGTGCAGCTCTAGAGTGTACCAAAGGAAATGTTTTACACCCCAGAGAACCGAGTCATGAGACTGTTCATTTTCCATACACATCAGATTCTCTGTGTGCATGTCAAAGCAAACAAGACACCTGTGCAGCCACCTGTCTCCAGTTTTTTTAGTCTTAAGATCACCTGCATACAAAAAAAGCAATTCTCAGTAGTCTAGAAATTAGCATCAGTAAATATTTTGCCCCTTTATAGATAATCAGTTATGCAATGTGCATACATACATTGCATTATTATGTACATTTGCTTCTAAATAAATGAGTTTCTTGCAACAAATGACGTAAAATGCAAACATCAAAGAAAATGACAGGAAGATGACTCATATCTAGAGTTGGCTGAAATTCTATCTCAATTAGAAAAAGCCAGCTCCCTAGCGATAAAC